CAAGGCTGGCCATGAATTTTCCCATATCATATTCTGTGGTGGGATTATCGATGAATCAAAGGTATACTTAATACAGTAATCGACTAGGCTTATAAGTCGATTTTCGATACTACCAGTAGATGCACTCATTTCGTGTAGGGTAATAAAGTGATATAATAAACTGGCAATTTCGAAGTCCTACTTAAAACATAAATAAGTAAGTAGTCGATTGCTCTATCAAATTTACTTTTGCTTCATCAACAATCCCAACACAGAATTGGATATGGGCAATTCATGGCCTTCTTTGAAATTAATATCTGCCCTGTGACCCTAGGGCACTCATTGAAATGTGGCGTAGTGGTTAACGTGTCGAGATAATACGCTGAATTGTCATTGTTCAAGTTCCACTATGGGCGTTGATAAGACCTATGCGAGGTTGAAATTGCAGTCCGGTCTGGATTAAAATACCTTTTTGGGAAAAGTGGGCTATGTGAAACTCAAGAGAACCTTATGTCCACTCAAATAAATGTGATATTATTCGAACATCATTTCTTCGAAAGAAGATGTATTCACCCTTTTGGGCTATGTTAAATTCAATGGAAATGTCAGCTCTACTCGTATCATTGTGGGAAAATTCTTCTACCAGTCTTTCATTGACTAAAACGAAATTGGGTGAATACATCTCATATTACAGATTTACTGGTAGTCTTGAAACAATACTTAAATGCGAAAAATATAATTTATTCATCACCTTAAATGAAATAGGATGAACACAACTCATATATTTGATTTATTAGTAGTCTCGAAAACCTACTCAAAACGAACTATGAAATACCATTTGCTTTAATGGACCCCAACTCGGTATGAATTCCATTGATTCCACAGGCCGCCTCTGCAAAAGCACGGGTGAAATCAGCCTCTACAGATCTGCTCTGCGGGATGCCCAGGCGTCGACTGTAGAGCCAATTCATTGTCGTCAGTTCCGTTTGTGGTTGCTGTATTTGCGATTGAGCCGATTTGGCTTCCTCCGAACGCAATGAGAATTCCGTTTGGGCCACCATTGACGTCAGGCCATCACTGCTGTTCTTTTGGACTTCATCGAGATGGGAAGAGCTGCCAATCGGTTTGGTGAATTGAGGACCGCAGGCTTGAGACAGTCCTCGAGCTGAAAATTGTACCGAGACCTCGCCAACGGAGAGATTTTTCTGCGATTGCAAACTTGGCCGTTGCAGCCAGACCAAAGCGTCGTGCCACGACAAACTGGTCCCCAATTGGCAATGCCCAACACTGCGAGGATTCACCATTTCACAGATTTTGCTCAATTCTCGACTTGACTGACGACCGAACTGACCGACCGATTTCTCGACCGAGACTTGAGTACGGTCTTGCTGTCGCCGTTGACGACGATCACGTCGCCTTGTCGCTGTCTGCTCAGCCTCGGTCGGAAGGAGGAGCGAGGCCAGACGGCAGGAGTCTGAGGGACCGGAGGACCGGACGGATCGGGTAGAACTGCCCGAAGCAGAGGAGCATGGAGAAGAGCAGGAGGAGTAAGAGGAAGAAGAGAAAGATGAGGAGGGGATAGAGGATGAGGAGAGGGAGGAGGAAGAGAAGGAGGAGGAAGAGGAGGAGAAGGAGGGGAGCGAAGAGGAGGAGGGGGAGGGCAAGGGCGTGTGGGAGTGCGGGGAGGAGGAGGAGTTTGCAGAAGAGAAGGACAAAGCGGAGCTGGAGCCAGAGTGGGTGCGGCGCGAGTAGTGGGGATCTCTCAGACGAAAGGGTCTCGATGAGGTTGTCTTGTCTGGGCAGACGACCAGGCCAGTTGCCTTGGCAACTTCGGCTACTTCGTTGTCCGAGGGCTGTTGGCTTTTTATGTGGTTCGAGAAGACTGCTTCTTTTGGTCCTTCAACCTCTAAATTTCCGTCAAAATGGCTTGATTTCAGGCTTTGGGCCTCTGGTAGGTTGGTGATTCTGTGGGACTCAGAGCTGCATTTGCTTTTGTTGCCTCTGCCGACCCGATTGCTCCGGCCATGCCGATGCTGACGGTGCTCAAGGTGACGATGACGATGACGGTTGTGATGGTTGTGTTTGTGTTTGTGATTGTGCTTGTGTTTGCGTTTGTGCTTGTGCTTGTGCTTGTGCTTGTGTTTGTGCTTGTGGTTCTGGTTGTGGTTGTGATTGGGATTGTGATTGTCCAGTTGGTTGCTCAACTTTTGATGCTCATTCTCTGACGCCTGGGGAACAAACACTTTGTGGCGACAATGATGATGGCAGCGGTGTTGCTGTTGGTGTTGGTGATGATGATGATGATGATGGTGGTGGTGGCCGTGGTGATGGTGTTTTGTTATCTTATTTTGCCCCTCGTGTTGCGTCAAGAGTTGCCGCGAGGCCTGATTGTCCATCGCAGATTGTCCCGAACGAGACTCGACCTCTCGTGTCGCTTTGGGATTGACAAATGGCCGAACCTTGGCATCGGTCGTCATGGGCGGAAGTTGTTCGTTCTTGCAATTGACCTCGGAGAGCACGACCGCCGCCGCTGCTGGTGCTGTTGTTGGTGCTGCCGTTGCCGTTGGTGGTGTTGTTGCTGCCTCGGACGGGTCTCGATGTTGTGTCTGCTGGCGCCGTCGTACGCCGGCCACCGAAGACGAAGTTGACGTCGAAAATGTCCCCTCCGAGACGACCGGTGGTTTGGTCTTTCGAACCCCGTTCGGCGCCTCCTCAAGCGTGTCTTCTGAAGGCTCTTCGTTCGACGGTTTCTCACGACGCTGCAACGCCAGACGATGACATACATCGAAGGCTTGGCCGACTGTGCGTACAATTCGCATCGCCTGCAGCTGGGAACAATGAATAGTTGTACTGGTTTACAACAGCCCTGATTACGTCTCTTCAAATGAGAAAAAAATTTGGGGTCGGCTTGATCTCGAGTTTGCAAATCAGACGTGGCTTCAGGGCAATTTTAAAGAAGACACCAGCCCACCTGCGACCGGGTACCTTTGCAGACATTTGCCAGCATTCTTATTGGCCTCGTTGATTGGAAAATCACTACAAATCCCCATTGAGGCCGGAGAAACGTCTGAAAGTGTACCAGGTCATCGGTGGGACGCTAGATGGATACAGGATGAAAATGATGGACCACGCAATCACAGTTTACGTTTCTCAACATCGTCTTTAAACCACGACAAAGTTGAGTAGAAGAGGTCAACTAGTTGAGATTACATATTAGTTTTATAGGTAATATGGACGATTTTCCCAAGTTGAGTGGCAGACAGGTTCCTATTTCTGCCAACTTTTCCAGCGAGGAAGGCAAGCTTCCGAAGTTGTTAGTAGAGCTGGCCACGACTGCGTATCCTGGGCTTGAAAGTGGTCAAGAATCCCCAAATTTGAAGCAGAAAGAGTCAATATACGACACTACTTACTTCTAAATAATTAGTTTAAATATGCTTAATTTGATCTTAAATAAAAGCTTTACTGAGATTGATAGTCGAATTTAACATACAAAAATGTTATATATTCTTTGTTGTAAATGCTTTTTCATCCTGTAGGTACAGCAATTTTCAACTCGACTGGACCTCCCCTAAATTATTGTTAGGGAGACTTTAATTACCTATGAAAGTGTTTGAGGAAGAGATTCAAAAGTTGATCTCTCCAGAAGACGGAGCTGATTACCACTTTAATGCAACCGTTTGGCTTTAATACGACCTCCAGGTTGAGGCAGTTTCCGAGACACCCTTCCTCGCTTTCGTCAATCCTATGATGGGTATAACCAGAGTTGAAACTCATTTATGTAAAAGTCTGACGTTAAACCTAGGTAAAGACGACTGTCGGGCTCTATCTTACCTCTTATATATACTCAAAACTAAAAAACCAAAATGTATAAACATAAAAAGATGTAGAACAGATAATCACTTTCTATAAGATTGACCTGCGAATCTATTATTCATGCAACTTCATACGAACTCAAAGTCTGCCCCACAATGTTATCTCAGGAGATTCATCGACACCAATCCACCATTCATATCTCTTCTAAAGTAAACCAAGTAAATTTCAATAGGTTCGTGAGGCCTATTCATGTAATTATGAGAAAAGTAAACTATTATTTCTCCGTATTAAAGTAGGG